TAGGGTTAGTTCTAGTTTCTGCCTTTCAATACTTGCAATTCCTTCTCAGACAATGAGAACCCTAGCACCCATTATCCTTACTATCTTTGTATTTTTATCAATCACCCATGTGCAACCACTCTCCCATTCCTGCTGCCATCTTCTTCCCAGCATAGATGCCCTCTTCAACCCATTTGGGGCCCAAGACCCCACTCCAGGCTGTCCCTATGAGAATTTCCTCCTCAATCCTCTCAGGTTCTGAGTCTCACACTGGGCCCCACCCCACTACCCCATGTGGATGCTACCCTCGCATTGCAGGACTTCATCATGTTCCAACCCCCTGTGCCAATTATCATGCCAGATTTAGGTTGTGTTCAGGTTCCGTCACTCATGATGGACCTCCATGGCTCCCCCAATTCTGCTTGGCATGGCTACCCACCTTGCTGTGCCCACTCACAGGCCTTAGGATTCTCGCGCTGCTTTCTTGACATTTCATTTCCATCCTCCAACCCTAGAGGGTTTCTTGGTCTTTCCCAGGTCAATTCATGATACCACCATCCAGCTCATGGCTCAAGCCCACGAGTACAAGTCATCCATGATTCCACAGTGGACTCCTTCCTTTCCCTCCCTAACTGGTGCCAGTTCCAGAGCCTTTTGGACTTTAGCATTTGTTCTTCTTCTAGCCTGGTCTTCCTGGAATTCTGGGCGCTAGGCTTTCCATTGTTCAAGTCTCTGTCCAGATGCCCTCAACGGAGAGAGGTCCTTCCAGACCGGCTTGTCCAAGGTAACTTCCCAGGCACTCCCTAGCTAACCACCTGGTTACTTTGTCTTCATGTCACTCTGAAATTATCTTGTTCATTCATGGGTTTGTGTCAGTACCACCATCCCCCACTAGAATAAAAGTTCCATGAGAGAGCAGAGACTTGGTCTGTCATACACCATGCTCTCTCCAACACCTATAACAGTGCTTGGCATGAATAGCAATAAGTAAATATTAACTGAGTTAATGAACAAAGTGCATTTAAAATAATAAACCTCATTTACAGAAAAATTGAGCATATAGTTCAGAGATTTCCCATATACTCTCTTCCCCTGCCACAGTTGCACCTATTATTAATATCTTTCCATTATGTGGTATATTTCTTACAATCGATGGGCCAATACTGATACATTATTATGAGCTAGAGTTTGATGTTCAAGGGTAGGAAGATCCAGCAGGGGAGAAAGATGGAGTCCAGAAGACTTAGCCAGTCTAGTCTTTCCACATTCTTCTGCCTGTTTGTATTCTAGTCATACTGGCAGCTGATTAGATGGTGCCCACCCAGATTGGGGGTGGGTCTGCCTTTCCCAGTCCACTGACTCAAATTTTAATCTCCTTAGGCAACACCTTCACATACATACCCAGGAACAATATTTTGCATCCTTCAATCCAATCAAGATGAGACTCAATATTAACCATCACATTAATTATACTTCTTTCTAACAAATCTTTAGTGACTGCCCTAGAGTTTGCAATATACACTATAACTAATCTAATTCCATTTTCAAATAACAAAATACTAATTCACGGGTAGCACACAGGTATCTTAGAAGAGAGTATTCCCAATATCTCCCTCTCAACCCTTATAACATTGCTATTATACATTTTACTTATTCACAAGCTATAATCACCCAACATGTTGCTGCTATTATTATTTTGAACAGTTATTCTCAACCTGATAAAGAACATCTAAAAAAAAAACCCTACAGATACTCACAGAACTCAGGAAAGCACTTTACTTACTATTACTGGTTTATATAAAAGACACAACTCAGCAACAGCCAAGTGGAGGGGATAGCTAGGGCAAGGTATGGGGGAAAGGGGCACTCTCTAACACCACCCTCCCAGAACCTTAATATGTTAACCAACCCAGAAACTCTTCAAACTCTGTTGTTCAGGGCTTATCTGTGGAGGTTACATCATGTAGGCATGATTGATCATTAACTCAATCTCCAGTCCCTCTCTCCTTCCTGGAGGTTGGGGTGGAAGGCATAGGGCTGAAAGTTCCAGGCTTTATTGATTATAAAGCTTGGTCTTCTTGGTGACCAGCCTCCATCCAAAAGCTATCCAGGGGCCCACCAAAAGTAGCCTCATTATAACTTGTATCACCCCTATTATTCAGGAAATTACAGGGGATTTAGGAGCTCTGAGCGGGAACCAAACCGGATATCTTTCTATAACACAAAATGCTTAGCATAGCAATCATCATGATTTTAAATTCCTGGTCTGATTTGTAAATTCTCTGCCATCTCTGAGTCTTATTTCTAAGCTTGCTTTGTCTCTTCCAATTGTGCTTAGAGTTGTCTGCCTTTCAGCATGCCTTGTAAGTTTTTGGTAAAAGCTAGATATAACATATAAGGTCATGGGAGCTGAGACAAACAATCCTTTAGGATGAGGTGTTATGTTTATCTGGCTAAGAATTGGGCAGTATTAAATATTTGCTATAGTTGCAGGTGTCAGAGGCTTCCGTTTTATCTAGTGTCCTCATTTTGGTCTCCTCCATTGTCTTTGGGTTTTCCTAGAAATGCCTTCTTAAATGGAGTTGTAATCCACTGTTTATTATACCACAGAGTCCTGTTGATCTGGTAGTAAGATACTATGTAGGCAAAACATTCTACAATCTTATGATTAAATCCCAGGGATTCACTTTAGGGGCCTGAGTCTCTGGGCTATGATCCTCAGAGAAGTTTCTTAGCCTTTGTTTTTTTCCTTCAGTCATGATGGACAGGAAGGCTACAGGGGGCTGAGTTGTCTAATTGCTCTTCTGCTAGGTCAGTTTGGGCTCCGGTAATGTAATGCCCCTTGAGGAAAGTTTTTTGTTACAGAACACTCTGGGCATATCTCAAAATGATTATTTATCCCCTCCCACTGGCCAGACAGGATTTTTTTTTTTTCCTGTGGTCTTTACCACAAGAACTTTGGTAAACCTTCTTGGAGTTAAACCTCAAGCAAGTCAGGGAGCATCCCAGTAAGACTGAGTACCCAAGAGTATTTAACTCTCAAGCTAGTCCACACTCAGTCTCCAGCAATTAGTCAATTATAATTCAAGTTTTGCTATGATTTCAGAGGCTTCTGGTCCCTGTAATCTGTGATTCTTCTCATTTGTCTGTCTCTCCAGTTTTTGTAGTTTGCCCTGTGACTCAATTCACTGGTATCGAAACAAGAAGAGTTGTTGATCTTCAATTTGTTCAGTTTTTCTCTTGTTGTGGGGAGTAGAGTGACAACTTCCAAGCTCTTCACATATTGGGATAGACTACATTTGTTATTAAAACTTTTTTTCCTAATAATATAAGCAAGATATTTACTGTAGAATGTTTGGAAAGGAAATAAAACAAAAATCACCTACTATCATCCAATCTGTAATAAGTCATAGTTAACATTTTGATATAGTTTTATATTAATATATATGTTTATATAAAAGAGTGAATGTGGCACATGGAGTTTGGTATTGGATTTCCCCATTTTCAGAGCCTATTTCTACAAATTCTCTAAAACTGTGGCTGAAAATATTTTCAATGTTGAATGTCTCTTATAAGGAATAGGATCCTAGATGAGTTCCCTTCAGATCTTAGGGGACTGGTGGGAATTCTGCCAAGGGTCACATGAGAGGCAGGACTGTGACATCCTCTTTATGATCACCCTTGTGCCTAGCCTTAAAGAAGTATCGGCAAATGTTAGGTGACTTCATAGATTAAAAGGCTTATTTTTTCCATCTACAAAAAGTATGTAACATCATTTTCCTCCCTTTCCTACAAAGCCAGAAAGCTAAAAGTGAGATTGAATACTCAGTTTAAATAATTTAGGTGGTTAGTGTATTTTTTTCCCCTCTCCTTCAAAAAGATATTAACATTTCCATTTTAGTAGCTGTAATGTTTAGAATATACATACATTTTACTTGAATCTCCCTTATAGCCTATTTTGGGTTTTGGGTTGTTGTTGTTGTTGTTGTTGTTGTTGTTGTTGTTGTTGTTTGAGACGGAGTTTCACTCTTGTCACCCAGGCTGGAGTGCAATGGTGCAATCTCAGCTCACTGCTACCTCCACTTCCCAGGTTCAAGCTATTCTACTGCCTCAGGCTCCTGAGTAACTGGGATTACAGGCACCCGCCCCTACGCCCAGTTAATTTTTGTATTTTTAGTAGAGGTGGGGTTTCACCATGTTGGCCAGGCTGATCTTGAACTCTTGGCCTTAGGTGATCCATCCATCTTGGCTTCCCAAAGTGCTGGAATTACAGGTGTGAGCTACCACGCCAACCTTCAGAGTCTATTTTGGAAGCTTACAGGCCATAAATAGCAGGTAGACAAACATGAAGCATATCTGTCTTTCCGTCTATCCTGAAACACGTTGTTCAGTGAGGGGTTTAGGGAAGGGTAGGAGTATGGAGGAGAGACCCACAGAGAAGGGAGAAGAATCTAAAATTGGGAATATTTTAAATATTTACAACATTTACTCAATGGTAGATATTTTTATTCTCGTTTTACTGGTTGGAGAATTATGATCATGGAGGTTTATACAACTAACAAGTGAGGGAGTCAGGAGAGAACTCATTCACTCTTTAGTTCGTTCGTTCATTCATTCATTCATTCATTCACTCGACATGTTTTTGAGTGTTTTCTAAATGTCAGACACTATTCTAGCCCCTGAGGATACTGCAGTAAACAAAACAGCCCCAAATTCTTTATCCCTTTCCTTAATGGAGCCTTCTCGGCAGAACGGAGGACTGGTTAGGAGCTGACAATCGGCAGCAGACGCTTGTAAACGACTGGACCTTGTTTGTATTCTCCCACCGGTCCCCGGCCCCTGCTCCGGCCCCGCCCCCTGCTCCGGCCCCGCCTCCAGACCGGCTGCGGCCCCGCCCCTGCTCCGGCCCTGCTGCCAGCCCGGCTCCGGCCCCGCCCCCTGCTCCGGCCCCGCCTCCAGCCCGGCTCCGGCCCCGCCCCCTGTTCCGGCCCCGCCTCCAGACCGGCTGCGGCCCCGCCCCTGCTCCGGCCCTGCCTCCAGCCCGGCTCCGGCCCCGCGCGGATCCCGCGCTGTTAGAGCGCTGCTCGCCGGCCGGCGCTCGGCTCCGGCACCCGCCCTAAAGACCTTTCCTCCCCGCGCGGAGGAATCCGCAGGCGAGCCGAACAGCTCCCCTAGCAAAGTCCGCGGGCCGCACCCAGCCGCACGGCCAGCTTTTGTCCCCCGCCCGCCGCCTCCGTCCGAGAGGCCGACCGCCGGGAGCATCCCGGCCGCGAGCGGCGCGTCCCGGAGCCGGGCGCGGCTAGGGCGCAAGGCTGGCACCTCTCGGGAGCCGCGAGGCGAGAGCTGCAAAGGTAACGCGGCTTGGCGGGGACGCGGGAGCACAGCGCGAGGGCCGCTGACTGGAAGGCAAACGCCGCCTCCCTGCTGCAATTCCCGGAATCCCCTCAGGCTCCCTGTCCTCCCCGACTCCTCCCCTTCCTGCCCTCCCTCGGCGTCCCGAGGATGCGACTCGCGCACCCTTCCCCTCTCCCCCCGCCGCGCCTGCGACCCCAGGACCCCTCCGGGTGGCCCCGGGGCGCCCGCCGCCCTTCCTCGCGCGGCCGCCCGCGGGCCGCTGCCCTCGGCCCTGCCCCGCGCCCTCCACGCGTCGCCCCTGCTGGGAGCCGCTTTCGTTGCGCCCCGCCCTGCGCCCCTCCACGTCCCACCGCACCGCACCAGGATGCCCGGGACACCGGGCACTTGCCATTGCAAGATGTGAGTCGGTGCTAAGTTTGAGGGTCGCGTTCCTCCAGGTCCATCCTACCTTGACAAACCGGCTCACTCGCCCGGGGCTCGGGTTCAGGATCTCTAGCCCGCCCCGTGAGGCCTCCTGGGATTAGCCCCCCTCGGACCCGCGTCGGGGTCACCGAAGGCAGCCAGCGCTGGAGTGGCCTACGCCCCTCCGGATCCGCTGCGTGGAGGCAGGAGGGGGAAGGCGAGGGGACGTGGTCGCGGTGACTGAGGGGTGCACCCTCCCGGGGTCGGAAAAGGGAGATCTGGGAAGATACTCCGCGATTGCGTGGAGGCGATTGGCACTCACATTTCAATCCTGAGCAAATCAATCCGTTACTCGCGGTAGCGAGTTGACTCCATCAGCCCGTTTATTTAGTTAGCGATGGTTTTATTGATTCTGGGCATTCCCACTCCTTTCTTTTATTTATTTTATTTTATTTTTTTATTTCTTTGTTTTGTTTGGCAAGAAGTCTTAGAAACTAATACAGCGTGCTTGAGCGTGGAGTGAATAGTGGGAGGTGCTGGAGCTGGCTCTGGGAACCCTGGAGTCTCCCTTGTGTGCTAAGTGACCCAGGGGTTAAGTCCCACCCTTGCCAAGGTTTCTAAGTATCCTGTCCACCCACCCCAAATCCACCTGTGCAGAGACCCTATCAAAATCCACCCTAAGGAAAATGCCTGATAAACTTTCCCTGCAATTAGGGCATAGCAGATAAGGCTTTATCTGTTTGTCTCAGGACATGACTTGAACTTGTAAGTTCTATTGTTCATAAAGTTGTTTTCCACCATTTTAGATGATCAAAAATCTACATGACTCATTTTTATTACCTATATTTCCTCTGAAGTTTCTCATGTATTTATTGAAAAGTTGAAGAAAATCTGAGTTTGGTTCACATGATTTGACAATGCTGATTTGTCTAAAATCATTTTACTTATTTCATTTTATTATTATCAGACTGAAGTGCAGTGGCGCGATCTTGGCGCGCTACAACCTCCACTTCCTGGGTTCAAGCTATTCTCCTGCCTCAGCCTCCTGAGTAGCTGGGGCTACGGGCACGTACCACTATGCCCAGTTAATTTTTGTATTTTTAGTAGCGACGGGGTTTCATCAAGTTGACAGCATGGTCTGGATCTCTTGACGTGATCCGCCCGCCTTGGCCTCCCAAAGTGCTGGGATTACAGGCGTGAGCCACCACACCAGGCCAAAAAAAACATTTCAAAAAGTAGTATGAAAAGGACCATAACCCAAGAGGTACTGTCTTAGAAGTAAATCATTTATTAAAATATGTATTCCGGGCCGGGCACGGTGGCTCACACCTGTAATCCCAACACTTTGGGAGGCCGAGGCAGGTGGATCACGAGGTCAAGGGATCGGGACCATCCTGCTCAACATGGTGAAACCCCATCTCTACTAAAAATACAAAAAAAGTTAGCTGGGCATGGTGGCGCGTGCCTGTAATCCCAGCTACTCAGGAGGCTGAGGCAAAATTGCCTGAACCCTGGAGGCCGAGGTTGCAGTGAGCTGAGATTGCGCCATTGCACTCCAGCCTGGGTAACTAGAGAAACTCCGTCTCAAAATAAATAAATAAATAAATAAATAAAATAAAATATATATTCCACGGCTCACACTTGCAGCTCAAAGCCACATTGGACTCATTTTCCTGCTACCTTTATAAACCTTCAGACTGTTCAAGAGTCAATCATATGTATCATCTTCCATTATCAATCATCATGGTTTTTGTTTTGTTTTGGTTTGGTTTTTTGACCAAGTCTTACTCTGTCACCCAGGGTGGAGTGCAGTGGTGCAATCTCAGCTCACTGCAACCTCCCCCTCCCAGGTTCAAAGGATTCTCTTGTCTCCTCCTGGGTAGTTGAGATTGCAGGAGTGTGCTACTATGCCTGGCTAATATTTGTATTTTTAGTAAAGATGGGATTTCCACTATGTGATCCAAGCTGGTCTGGAACTCTTGACCTCAAGTGATCTGCCTGCCTCAGCCTCCCAAAGTGCTGGGATTACAGGCTCAATCATCATGTTTATCAACTCTAAAACCCAGACTAAGATTCCATTACTTATTAGATGCACTTTCATTTTATGTAATCAAGTAAGAAAAAAACACTGTCAGTCATGCTATCCCATGCCACTGTACAAAGCATTCTCGTTTCAGAAATGCTCGAGTGTGAAAAAAATGTGCATTTTAACATTTGCGAAACATTAGGGAGAGCAGAGCTTGACAGCACTGTCTCTGAGGGTCCTTCTTCCTCCTTTGGAAGAATGAAACTAGGGAGCATGCAATTCAGAGAAGAGTAAAGGAAAAACGGAGCTGGCAGAGGAGGTTGGCTGACTTAGAGGTACAGAAAAGATAAAACACAAGAGGGAAAAAGTGAGGTGTGGATGATGGAGAGGAGTTCAGAACCACCAAAAATTTTCTCTGGGCCCAACAAGAAAACGAGTTATGCCACAAGCCAGGGTTTTACCAAACGGTACGTGGAGATATCCATCGGCAATGTCATTGGTTTTCATTTATTTATTTCTAATTCTCAAGCTTAAAAAATATATTTAAAATTTAAGTGTGTCTCAACCACTAGAAGCTATAGTGGTGAGTCATCAAAAGCTTGAGAATTCTCTGTAATAAACAGGAAAGAAGGAAACTGATCTTGTCCTGGTTTTCAAAAAAAAAGGAAACTGAATCTCAGCGTACTTTGCTTTTTTTCTTTTCTGACAAAGGAGCAGTGGGCTCTTTATGCTGGCTGGAGGTGAGTGCGATAGGGGAAAGTCCTCTGGGCACCAACTTTCTGGGCTAGAGAAGTTGCCCAGGCTTTACAGAACAAACTGGAATCAGGGACCGGTGTAAAAAGGAAGTCAAGGTTTCACTCTGCCGTATCAGTAGGAGGTACTAAAGGCAACCTAGCACCAGCAAAATGAACAGAAATGGTAAAGGGGAGTAAGGAGGAAAGGAGAGAACAACATGGTTTGCAAGGCATCTTACTAAAAAGAAAGAATTACACTTGGAACAGAAGAAATTCATTCTCATTGCCTTTACACTGTACAACAACTTGATAAAAATATAAATCCAATAAAATAAACTCAAAGATGAGAAAATTGTAAATTCGAAATGAAAAGGGAGATTGCAGACCTAAAGGAAGAAATTGAAGACCATGAAAACATAGTGACAGAATAAATAGAAAGAACAGGAGAAATACTGCTGAAATAAAAGTATTTTTTTACATTGTTGAAATGTATATAGAAACACTTATACAGAAGAAGTATACATATATGTGTGATGATGAAAACTTTTTTATTGCATTTTAGGTTTTGGGGTACATGTGAAGAACATACAAGATTGTTGCATAGGTACACACATGGCAGTGTGATTTGCTGTCTTCTTCCCCATCACCTGTATCTGACATTTCTCCCCATGCTATCTCTCCCCAACTCCCCACCCCCCACCGTCCCTCCCCTATTTCCCCCTGACAGACCCCAGTGTGTGATGCTCCCCTCCCTGTGTCCATGTGTTCTCATTGTTCAACACCCGCTTATGAGTGAGAACATGTGGTGTTTGATTTTCTGCTCTTGTGTCAGTGTACTGAGAATGATGGTTTCCAGGTTCATCCATGTCCCTACAAAGGACACAAACTCAGTTTTTTATGACTGCATAGTATTCCATGGTGTATATGTGCCACATTTTCCCTATCCAGTCTATCATTGTTGGGCATTTGGGTTGGTTCCAAGTCTTTGCTGTTGTAAACAGTGTGCTGCAATGAACATTCGTATGCATGTGTCCTTATAGTAGAACGATTTATAATCCTTTGGATATACACCCAGTAATGGGATTGCTGGGCCAAATGGAATTTCTATTTCTAGGTCCTTGAGGAATTGCCACACCGTCTTCCACAATGGTTGAACTAATTTACACTCCCACCAACAGTGTAAAAGTGTTCCTATTTCTCCACATCCTCTCCAGTATCTGTTGTCTCCAGAGTTTTTAATGATCGCCATTCTAACTGGCATGAGATGGTATTTCAAGGTAGTTTTGATTTGCATTTCTCTGATGACCAGTGATGATGAGCATTTTTTCATATGTTTGTTGGCCTCATGTATGTCTTCTTTTGTAAAGTTTCTGTTCATATCCTTTGCCCACTTTTGAATAGGTTCGTTTGTATTTTTTCTTGTAAATCTGTTTTAGTTCTTTGTAGATTCTGGGTATCAGCCCTTTGCCAGATGGGTAGATTGCAAAAATTTTTTCCCGTTCTGTTGGTTGCTGATTCACTCTAATGACTGTTTCTTTTGCTGTGCAGAAGCTGTGGAGTTTGATTAGGTCCCATTTGTCTATTTTGGCTTTTGTTGCCAATGCTTTTGGTGTTTTGGTCATGAGGTCCTTGCCTACGCCTATGTCCTGAATGGTTTTGCCTAGATTTTCTTCTAGGGTTTTTATGGTGTTAGGTCTTATGTTTAAGTCTTTAATCCATCTGGAGTTAATTTTAGTGTAAAGTGTCAGGAAGGGTTCTAGTTTCTGCTTTCTGCACATGGCTGGCCAGTTTTCCCAACACCATTTATTAAACAGGGAATCCTTTCCCCATTGCT